AACAGAACAGTCAGTGTTGAATAAAAAAATAAATGTAAATCCTTGAATCAAAAACAATCTTGTGACACCAATCTTTGTAATGAATTTCCAAGGCGGGTTCCGTTCAGTACTGATTAGAAGAGCCCGATTTTGTATACACTTAAGAGACAGTAAAGTTAGACAAAGTATGCATTGAGATAGCTAAACACACTCGGTGGATGAACAATTATGCCATATAATTTTGATTAACATCTAACTTATTTCTCCAAGTCGGATTTCTAATGTGAAATAATGGACGAGTCACTTTAATTGCCGAACAACCTGTATATTCGAGCTAAACCTGAAGACTGTAGACTCGAATGGATACACTGGTTACTTTTGAGCCTATACAAGTTGTCTTGTGTTTTTAATAGCCAAAACTCAAGGCTTATGCCTTCAATATGACAAAATCTTGTTCACTCATTCGCCTCTAGTCTAGAGGTTAGTCCAATCGGTTTCATCCTCTAGATTCACGTAGCCTATAGGCCGATCCCATCACTTGCCACTCCTCTAGATCATACATCATCATGTGATCTTGCTCTTGGGTTGGGTTCGATAATGCGTTGAATGGACCCAAGACCTACTAACATACCTCATCTTCATCCGTCGCAACATGAACTTGTATATTAATTTCTCTTTCGCTCTATAATATGAAATACGTCTCCGGCACAGGACGTGGTGCTTATTGGTCATCGGAGAAATTAAATCTTGGTTTGGCTATAAGAACAGAGAATTTAAGAAATCTTGAGACCGCATGTTGAACTCTAGAAAAGGGAGAGACTAGTAAGTACCCACTTCTGCTCTTTTTCTCCTAGAGGTGAGACAAACCGTTTTCTCATTTCAGTTGCCTCGGGGTTTGAGCCGAGCAATGTGTGGTCATCGATGTATTATGCAACTAAGTTCTGCAAAGAGCCACATTACCACAGTTCTTTTCTTTTCTCATAATACTATGTACGGATGTAGTATTAGAGTAAGTTCCCACTAGAAGCTCACTTAATAACATGGAGGCTAGATTTAGAAGTGCGAATGTGAAGAGTCTATCTATCAATTTGTAAAAAAATACTCCAATATGAAAGAAAAATACTTCTTTTTTGCTGTAAGTGATGCTCAAATTCCTTTTTTTTATTATTGATAAAAAAAATTTCATGTAAAAAAATCAAGTTTTGAAATGGAAAAAACCGCACTTTCTGTTCACAAGTTTTATATTATTCTTTCAACTCTGCACGTACCCAAAAATTAAAAAGGCGTTATTTTTTATAGATTTCAAGTTATAAATAATTATTTTTTCTCATTTATAATTGAAGATATATATAGTTTCCATATGTTGAAAATATAAAATCTGTTTATTTTTAATTTCTAATAATTGATAATATATAAAATACTTATCTAAGCACATTGAAAGAATACAATCATATGCTTGTGTGGCGCTTCTTGTAACCTAGTTTCAAGCTTTAACATTTTATTCTAAAGAAAGTGTTTGCATTTGAAGAGGTTAAAATAATACAAGTTCACTTCAAACCAAAAACAAGAAAAATATAGTAAGAAAGTGAAGTGAATGCTTAAACAACAAGGTAATCGATTATTGGTTTTCCATATTTTTAACAATCCAAACAAAAAAAAAACTTTTATAAAATTTGCACTATGTTAGACGTAACTTGTTAATACGGTGTAACTAAACTTCTCGATATAAACGCATCTGCATCGGAGATTATGTCTATGTAATATGTTGTCTCTAGAAGGCAGATTGTGAGCACGGAAGCAATTTACTCTCCCATGAATCGACCACAACATATTCTTGTGAGATATTTCACTTGATCGTCGTTGAAGTTCAAGTACATTATATCAAAATGTCAAAATCAAAGGCACACCTGAATTAGAGGAGCATATTTTTAAAGAAACCTTAGGAGTTACTATCATATTGAATATTGAAATCGGGTTTGGTTCCACCGCCACAGATGTATCCCGAGTGCCAGTTCAAACCCGGCTACTGGTGTGGCGGTTTCAACTTGAAAAACGGAACAGACACAAAACCATCATTGTAAGCAGGAAACCACCAACCAAGCACCAAGTCGTATGGATTTCGAAGAGAATGTCATGAAAATAGTGGAAGGACGTCTCATTGGGGGAAGTTTCACTCTCAAGAGATAGAGGCGGCCTTGTCAGGAATAAAGAGAAGGAGGACAAAGGTGATGCAGAGTAAGATCTTTCCCAGATCTAGATAAAGAGTGAAATGTATGATTGTACCACAGAGATATCACCGTCGCTACCCTTTTTTGGCCTCCCAGGGAGCGGTGCAGTTGGTCCACAATATGCATTGTAATAAAGAAAGATTTACCAAATCTGTTATGAAGTGCAATATGAAAGGTAGAAGCTTTCTTGATAATTATCTGGTACTGTATTCAACAACTAGTATATTTTGTTCTTTTAATCAGATTAAAGTGAAAAATCTGCTCATTTTCAAAATCAAATTTCAGATAAAATTGACGACCTTGAGAAATCCATTGACAATAGTGCTCTCTCTCAGATACGTTTTTTTGGACGCAGCAGACATTTTTCATGATATTTTTGCACAAGTTTTGTTGCAGAGTGCCAAAATTGCGAAGTCTAGCCTGAAACCCGTTTGCGATTTCAGAGAGAGATCGACTGGAAACAGTATCACAATAAATAATCGGGTAATTAAATGTATAATTTTCTCGAATAAAAATTACTGGAGAGAGAGATAGGGAGTCATAGAGAACGGGGCAGGCTCGATAGTGCCCTAAGTGCTTGCGTCAGGCATTTAGGATAAGTTACCGGTCATTCACCCCAGTAGATCTTTTCGTGCCCTTCAGAATCATCATCTAGATAAGAAAGAAGGCTTCTTTCGAATTGGAGTACTTTATCCGTATACTTTCTAGACTCTATCTTTGGCCTCCTTTTATAAATTATTTGGGTTATCGTTCATATCTGCACAGAATTCGGTCACTCAGTGGCAGACACTTTTTCATCCAATGGTCTTGGAACCCAAACTTCACAGCTTGTCTTCTCTGGCCCCTTCACATTGTAGCCAGAGTTTAGCTCCTCTAAGCAGAGTTCCATCTGCAAGGGTCTCTGTGCCAATGTAGAAGACCGTGGCTACTGGAGAGGAAACAATCTAATTTACGATGCAGTGCACATTAATTTACTGTTGAATAAGTTAAAGCGGGAATTTGAATTATGATTAGAGCTGAGCAAGGCAATAAACCTGTTTCATGGTGAAACTCAAAGAGTACAAAACTTTCTAATTTGAGTTGCAGAAGTAGAAAATCAATGCAAGGAATCAAAGTCCAAGCACTTTACAGATTATACAAGTTTTAAGATAAATCTTATCTATTTATCTGTAACCAGTCTTCACAAGATAGTAATTATTACCCTCTACCACAGGACATTTTGAGACCCTACAGCCATTACGAGGTTAGCTGGCGTCAGCCATCGCTTTTTCCAGAGTTACAAATACACGAATGGGGATGTGGATGTTGGGTTTGTACATCGCAAGCTATGTCAATTGGGAATCCCCTACATTTGGCGCTTTCTGACTTTTAGCCAGGCAGAGCGAGTTAAGACGTGGAGATATCGTTCTTGTGAGTAAACAATTTGGCTCTTAGCGATTCCTGGACGAGGTACGTTGATACTATTAGACAATGTCGCGACTGGAACGACTGCCATTACAGTTGGGGCCATAGGTGCGGTAGATAGATCCTGGTTCGTTGAGAAACTTCAGGAAATTCGCAAATTTGTAGCCAACTTGAGAAATGACCGCCGGTGAAGTTGGAAGAGTACACTGTCTCCTGGCCTGCAGTCATACTACCCACGCAGTTGAAGGCTGAAATGTTGATGGGCCTGTGACTGTGACGACGAGAGGGAACGACTGTGAACTGGATCGTTGTCGCAACAACGAAATTTTCGACATTTACGAACAATATGCAAACAACGAACTGAATGTGGAGACCGACTGAATGCGGCGACGAAGGCAGAATTACACTACAAACCTAGTTAGATGTTTCTTAGCTGCTTAATTAGGTTTAATTAATTTGTTTAATTAGTTGCTCCCTCTTAGCTTAGGAATCGACGCGGGAATTGGGAAAGTCACTACGATTCGGTGAAGTTTTAACGACGGGTTGATGGAAAAACCTCCTAGTAGCGGTGGTCGTGTAAACCAATAGAATTGTTCGGACTGTAACCGTTGACCGCAAACAGCAGCGGTCCCATGTTAATTCTATTTGATTGTGGGAGGTAAAACGTAAGAAAGAGCAGTAATATCAATGAAGTCTTGACTCCGTGAAAAGACGTGGCTACTACGGAAGGAGTCAGAGGGACACGGACAAAACTTACCAAAAAACCTTATCTGTCAAATAGATTTACGGCGAGCGTTTTGACCGTCCGCAAGAGGTAAATAGTTTTCACCACATGAGGTAGGAGGGTGAAAAGCTCGCGAGAGAGCCAATGGAGCGTCCAAGAGCCAGGTGGCGGGCTCGTTCCCACGCGGGCCATGGCCATGCCAATTGGCAATCTGCCATCTCAGCAAGCATCTGCTGACATGGCCGGCAAGCAGCTGTCCACCTCGGAGTTCGTTGCCCCACTTTAACTGCCGGTTCTGCCACGTGATTGGCAAATACCAAAAGTCCAGTGGAACACGAATGCAGGACCAGTCCGATGTGGCGGGAGCAGAAAATTGTGCCAGTGGGCTGGGTGAAGTGCGCGAGAGGCCGGCATGCCAACGCGAGGGCACGCACACTCCGTTCGATCGTATACATCTAGGGCTTCCGTGATCCGATGCAGAAAAGAGCCAGCCAGCGGTGGGCTGGGGTTGCCTGTAGTCGTCATCGGGCCCAAAAGCAACAACCACGACAGACAAAGCCCCATCGATCCCCGGCCAGCACTTTTCCCCCATCTCCAGCACAGCAGCACATCCCCGGCAGGCAGCCACCCCCAGCAGCACCACACCAGCAGCAGCGAGAAGCGGCCGGAGGGAGCTAGCCGCGCGGAGGAGAAAAGCGAGCCACGGGCGAAAGCGAGCGAGCGAAAGCGAGAGCCAGAGGAAGAGTGCGACCGAGCGAGAGAGGGAGAGAGGGAGAGAGGGACGGGTAAAGGAGAAGGAGGAGGAGGACGAGGAGTCCGGGCAGGGATTGCTACGCTACCTGTACGGGGCTCGCCGCTCGCTCGCCTGACTGACTTGTGGCACGACTGAATTCTCGCGTCGAGGGGAGACAGCACCGTCCGGTGGACGAGGTGGAAAGCTGGGATTCAATTGGTGCGTTGGCCTTGTGAGGCCTCTCACTGGAGCGCGCACACCACTTGCTCTGGGCTGCCGCCGGGGTGAATATTGGGCCCTGACCCATCCGGATTCAGAGTCGGACACGGCTGCGTTCGCCTTTAGTGCCCGCCCCGGTGTTGGGCTTTCCCCCCTGCCTGCTCGCCTGGTTCTTCTCGGCCGAGTGCTGCTGCCACTCCTCTAGTCGCTGAGTCGCCCTCACACCGGGCCTGCTGCGTGTGCTGCTTGCCCTTCAACTCCCTTCCTCCTTCCCTTCCAGAGGGAAGGGCTGAAAAAGCAAGAGTATCGGAGGAGAGGGCGCTTTTGCAATCTACTTACTTGTCTACGCTTTCTGTTGGCTGTCCGCCTGGCGCATCGTAGGAGCAAGGAAGGTCACGTTGCCCTTGGGTGAGAGAAGAGAGAGAGGAGGGAGGAGAGGGCAGGAGAGTTGTAGTCTCGGACGGGAGAGGAGAAAAGAGAGGCAGTCAGACGGGGGCCTGCCAGAGAGTCGAGTCGACTGTGGCCGAAGCATTGTGCGAGTGAGTGAGTGAGTGAGTGTGGCGCATTTCTCCGAGTTGCGTCTCGTTGCGTCTCGTTGCGGCTCGCCGCGTTGCAGACGAGGAGGAGAAGCGAGAAAGAGGGAGCGAGCGGGAGACGGAGAGTGTTTGTGTCGGCGTGTGCTCACGTGGGAGCGAGCGAAAGGAGGCGGGGCGGTGAAATTGCTATTTGTGCATTGCGTTTGAACGGGAGAGCCTTCGCGTGGTTTTCGTGCAGAGTGGATCTAAAGCAGAGCTTCGCCCCGCCTTTCCGCACTCTTCTTCTTCCCGTGCTTGCTCTCTGGTCTCGACTGTGATCTCTAGCTAGCCAGCGCTCAGGCGTGGAACGTTTCTTTGTCGGGAAAAGAGGCTTCATGCTCTACTCTCATCACCAGCTTTCTATCGTCAGCGAAGTACGTGGATCTGTCTTCAATGAAATGCCCGTTCAGCCGAGTTGTTGTGGCAGGGACGAAGCTTTGACAAGAACGTACGTTAACCAAATCTTTATCAAAGGATAACACTCGCTTAATGCGTAGAACCTCTCGGTACGTGAGTGACAAAGGGCAGCCTCTTTCCATTTGATACATACACTTGCGGTTGTACACCTGGTTTCAGAATTCCTGATAATATATGCACATAGTTAGCCAGCGCTCAGGCGGGGTGCATTGTTCGCTAAGTTGACTGACAGGGTGTTTGGTGTTTGCAGTGTGTGACAGAGTGTGGTGTTTCGAAAGCTGTTTGGTAGAAGATATGGCTTCAGGTGTAACTGTCCTGCCATCTACCAGTGCTGGCGGGAAGCCTAGCGATGGGAGCCGTCAAAAGAGAAAGATTGCGGCTGGACTTCCGAATGTTCGGAAGAGAGTTTGTGTTCCCAAAGATGCCGTGAAAGTCGAAGCAGCGAGGAGCGCAGGCTCCTCGAAACCTTTCGTGACTAAAAGGAAGGATAGGATAGATGATGAAAATACGGGAGATTCCTCTCTGGAGTTGGACGCCGCTAGGGCTCTGACTCAGATGCAAACACAGGTATTGAAGATTATCGAAGAAAGGCCCGTGTTGACTTTGAAGGTCGTTGCACCGCTTCCCCAGTGGTCGAGGAAAAGAATCCGCTCTAGCAGAGCTAAGAGAGCTGATTGCGCGAGCGATGATTCCCACACCAGCGAGCCTGAACCGGAGCAACAATCTGAGGGTGCATCGTCCTTAGGAAAAGATTCACATTCGGCCATCACCACCGCTGTGAAGGTCGAGGCGCCCAGCGGGAGCGTTGAGCAGGGATGCGCCAGCGATACAGAAAAGCAAAACATCAAGCTTCTGTCAGATTCTAGTTGCGATTTTCATCAGCTTGACTCTCGTGCCGAGAGCCCCACCTCTCCTCTACCCGCTTCAGTGAGAATAGACGAAGTTCCAGGGTTCACCGCCTTCCAGATGGTGGAGAATGAACCACGATCAGCCTTCAGAAAGGTTGTGGCCATACGTCCGGTGAAGAAAGCGGCCGTAGCCCGTAAACCGAAGGTAAGAACTTGAAGGGCCGTGCGAAGTGGGTGAGGGTTCATTTGGTTTTGGGTGAGCAGATCAATTTCACATTTTGAAAACGTATTTTGTTAGCATCCACATCAACTTGCTACTTGACCATAGGTCACTGATACTTTTCTTCTTCAGGTCGAGGAGAAATCGTATGAGGCCGCAACGCCCGAGCAAGCAGCTGTCAAGCTCGCCACTCGGAAGAAGCCGAAACCTGCGGGTGTAGGGCAATTGCCTATTGTGAAGACCGAGGAGGCAGACGCCGGCTGGCCAGTTAGCAGTACGGCAGTTGTTCTCAATGAAGATAGTAGAAGATTCGAGGACGCCAAATGTGCGAATGCTGCGAATCCTTGTATGGCGGCGGCGCAGGAAGTTGCCCTGTCGGAGCCAGTTTTGGTCAAGATTGAGACCAAGCCCAGCGTGAAACCTGGCCAGCGCGCTGGCGGCAAACTTAAACCTGCTATCAGCGAGGTATATATTGCAGTCCGTGTATGGTGTTTTTTTTCCTTCAATCTCGAGCTCCATGATCAGGAGCTCACGAAAGCTCGTGGGCTATATATATATATCTTTATATTTATATGGAAGTGGTTTTAAGCGGTGCCTTGTTTTCAACAGAGCGAAAAGGAGGCACGGAGACAGCGTCGGGTCCAAGCTAATCGCGAATCGGCCAGGCAGACAATCCGACGGAAACAGGTGCGTACTAGATACATGAAATTGTGAGAATCTTTGCCGGTTGCATTCCTGCTCACGTGATTATAGACACAGACTGGCTTCGTCGTTAACGTTTGCAAATCGCATGGAGGAAGGGGTGCATCTGTTGCTTCTTCTTCCGTTCCTTCAGGTTCCTCCCTCGTCGTTCGCGGTTGTCTGGTTTTTCAAATACTGATCAAAGGGTTATGTATCTCTCAGGTTCTCTGTGAGGAGCTTTCCCAGAAAGCCCAGCTATACACAATTGACAACGACACATTGAAAAAGGTGAGTTGGGTCGATGGGATCGTCGCTTTGGTTGCTGGCTTCAAAATGTCCTTCAAGTGTGCTGAGGCCGCGAATCGCTTTTCACCTACTGACTGCGTACTCAAGCTACCTTACTATGGTTCTCATAGCTTCTCCACTTTTAAATGTGCAGGAATTGGAGATGAAACTCTTGGACCTAAAAAAGGAGAGTGAACTTAACGCGCGTTTAAGGGAACAAGTAAGTTTGCTTGTATGAGTTCTTAAAGATGATTTTATTTGGACAGCAATTCGTATTGAGACAACCTGTCAGATATCACCCCTGGTCATTTTAAACGTGGAAATGGACGACTAGACGAGTAGTGCTTCTGTGCGGTGTTTCTGATCATTTGATTGTAATTGTTTCAGTTGCTGAAGAGTCACGAAGGAGTCTCCGGATCTGAAGTTGCCGCGACACAACCTGAGCATGGTTCAGCATTCAGATTCAACCCTCCATCGTCCGGAACATTCAATCCGATGATATTGATGCAATTTCCACACTACACGCACCCAAGCGACGTCTGTTTTCCTGGAGCACCGCCTCCCCTTGGTCTTTCTGGGGATTACGCGACTGCTGCAGTATCTTATATGCCAGTGATGTGGACGGGAGGCGCCCATGGGGGTCAGGGTCCTTTGGTATCCTACTTCCCGTATGCGTGCCCGGTGGCTGGCTCCAGCAAATTTACTTCCCCTCGTGGAGAAGAGGCGACGAGCCCGCCGGCATCGTCGTCAGGTCCAGCCGCTTCGTTACCGTCGACTCAGGCAGAGAGTCCGTTCTCCAAAGCCCCCTGTGGAAGGGACAGAGGTTTAGTTACCGCGAAGTCTCTCGGGCCGTACAGAGCGAGCTCATTTTCTGAGTCCACGTTCTCACATGATGTGAAGAAAGCCTCTGTGAAATGTGAGAGTGTATGTGAAGCACCGACTTTCGGTGGGAAGGGACAGTTTTACAAGCTGACCACATCATCGCAGCATGGAACTTCCTGTCTGCCGGGAGTATTGCCCCGGAAGTCTTCAGGGGAGGAATTGTTGTGCTTGCCTCCTCCGAGCGCCCATCTAGCGAGAGCTTCCTCCGGCAATTTAGCTCCGCAGGTGTCGAAGATGGGGAATTCAAGGTTCGTGTTTCCAAGCGGAGGAAGACGCTACTCGGACATGATGGGACAAGAACTTCCACAAATGATGCAGAGTCAAAAACCCTCGGTAGCAGTTGCAAGAGCGGCAGAAGCACGGCGTAATCGGATAGAGTTACAACGGAGTAGGGCACAGAGGCAGCAGGCTGCCCGAATTGCAGAGCCATCGGTGTCGTAACTATATAGCACTATAGAGAAGAGAAGTAAGTAGCTTACAACTATCACTGTTGGGTTATTTTTCAGTTTTTGCTGACTTTTGAGGGTAGATTTAAGATTCGTAGTAGACTGAAACACTTCCAGTCTACTCTGGAAGTGTTTCAGTATGTCGGTGTAAATTCAAATTTGAGTATTAGACTCCACGATAGGCATGTGCTGGCTCACAGAAAACGCTACCATCAATGGAGCGTGTATAACTGGGCATTTTGATATCAGAAAGTGATGTGTGATAACCCAGGAAGATCCCTGATTTGGGATTACTAATCAGACCTTGGGAGAAGAAGACAAGGGGCTCACATCACTCGTAGCAATATTTACCTGGCATCCTTAGTACAAGAGTAGATTTAGAGAGGCCACCTTTACTCCCTGAACTCATGTAATACGGAACCTCGATGTAGTAGGCTTAGTGCAGCGGGGTCCTTTGAGTTCAGAATCTTTGGCAGAGTGCTAGTATTCTTACAGTCAATTCTTATGCAGGGAATGCTTCCCAAGGCATGATTTTATTGTACATTCAATTATTTGTATACGGATCGATCTATATGCTTGCTTAAGCTGGAGTGACTTTTTCAAGTGACCTCCGTGTCTACTTTGCGCTGGTTCCGACCATGTTTTCAACTCTTGGACTAGCGCTCACTGTGGGCATCTGGCGTGCGGGTTGTCTGATATTTACAAAGTAAATGCATTCTCGGGACTTCGTCGTGGTCTGCCAATGCTCTGTGCAGGACGGTGGGTGATTGATAGCAAATGTGCTATTGTAAGTCGCTGCTAGTTATGCTGTGGAATTATTTTGTTTGGTCTGTGGCGTCAACCGATTTGGGTTTTATAAACATGGATCTGTGCGCGATCGGGATGAGCGGCACCGCTGATGGTGATATTCCATTTTGGTCCTAACTTGAACGACTTTCCGCTTTGGAGTCGGAATTGCCATTGTTTGGTTCAGCGGACTCAGCATGCGGTGTGGAAATTCGTCATCGTGAATACCTTGTCACCTTGTGCCAAGGAAGCACTGTGGTGTGTTGTGGAACAGTAATCCCTTCGTACGCTAACTCTCCTTCTGACAAGACAGCCGACCGACGTGCAGCGTTCTGTAAGTTCTGTGGTGAGATGGAGTGTGAGAGGCACCAAACCCTAAATTCAGGTTCGCAGCCTCATTGCAATAACGTCCGTACTTGCCATGACCGTCTCTGACCAGGCCATTTTGCCCTGGACAAATGAGAAACCGACCGCCTCCAGCAGATGTGGAAAGGGCTTTCCTGAGTATAGTAACATCGGTCGCCCTTTTTCCTTCGAGAGAATAGCCGGTTGAGCTAATGGTAACAACACCTGATAGGAAGCGGTGGTTACTCGGGTAGGCCCTCTCTGACCAGAATCTTACCGAATCTGCAGTAATCGGAAATATTAACCGCGCAGTCAAAACTTCTCCCGTCGTCTTCTGTAATCGTTCGCGTTTAACACACACGCGGCGTGTGAAATGTTTTCCATCCGTCCGCTCCTCCCAGCAGTTCGGAGTGAGAAACCCTAATGACCGCCAAATTTTCGGTGTGATAACTTCCTGTGAACCAGGAAGTTATCGCACCGATCGCACAGGTCTGAGCATGTGCGAAATATACAAGAAGCGCATTAAAAAAGGGACCTGATACGAATCCGGGCTAGAAAGACGTGGCCCTGAACACATCCCGTTCTTTCCATTTATACAGTATACAGGACACGGCAGGGGAGTAAGTAAGTAAGCGTGTGCCAATCACAACTGCAGTAGCTCTAGCACGTTAGGACATGGTAGTAGTGATTTAGATGAGGAGGCAGTGGATTTGTGTGGCATTCTGGTGTGGGCCGAACATGAGGTGAAGAACAAGATAGAGGGTCCCAACTGGCACTGTCAGTCATGAGGTCTTATTTTGACGCTTGTGTTCGCGTTTCTGCCACATAGCCTCGACAAAAGTGGCATCTTCCTTCTCGAGCACTCATTGGCCTGTCAGAAGGTCGACACCCGGTCAATCCCTTCCGGTCGCACTCGCTCACCGGTCGCTCTGACTCGCTGCAGTTCTTTTTTTTTTCCGCTGGCTTCTTGGATGGAAGGCCGTAATCTCTTTTCCATCGTCGTCCGTCGTCCGCCCCACGGCCCTCATTTCCTCGCTTCGAGGCAAAAAGTACGGCACCGCGCATCAATTCCTCATCCCTGATTCGTCGACCTCCACAAACGTGCTCCTCTGATTGGCCTTTCGTCTATGGCGACGAATTCGGTCGATGGTCCAGTTGGCTTGATGATCAGGAGGCGACGTGAGTTACTACTGGGTAGCAAATCCACTTGGCGCCGACTGCGATGTTGTCAACTTGACCCAGGTGACGGAGCTTGAGTTAAGCGGTGATGGAGTCCACTTGGCACCTATACTCTCCACTGATGAGTTTTCCACTTTCCCCTGTCCTGGTTTACAGCAACCGTCTTTCGGTGGATCCCTACCGTTTTATCATGGAAATGTATAAATTTGACAATTTCCCTTCGGCCGGGGATTTCCTTCCCTTCTTTTTGGTCGATGAGTTTCGCCATGATTTTGTAGAACATAACGCGATATTTTCTCATTAACTAATATTCAAATAATAAGGAAAGGATTTAATCTTGTGGGTTTTTACCTTGTAGAAAAATCATATATAATTGATCAATTGAAAATTTTTTTGTACTGCAAATGTTTGGTGTTAGTTTGCTCACAACATTTGTCAATCAACATAACGCTATACAAATATCGATGAATTATCTTTGTTATTCTACGTAAATGTAAATATAAGCTTGGTATCAATCAATTTCATTATTCATTCTTATCTAGTGTTGATAAATTCAATCATATATGATACTTTCTAGCATGTTCGTCTGATGTTAATATATTTAAAATTTTATTTATATATAATTTTTTAGTCAATTTCTGCTTTTACCTTTTGATTTTTTAAATAAAAAACGGTTCCAACATGTCTATTCGGTTTCAAATAATGCATAATATTTTTGATTTTGATGTATAAAAATATATCTTAAATTTTACGTATATGGTATTTCACATGAAGTAAATATCAAATTATAAAATTTTATGGTATAAACCTTATCACAAACTAAGATTAGTAAACAAAGTTACATCAAAAAATATTTTCAGTAGGATGTCAAAAAAGACGTAAATTGCTACCTTAGGCATAAGTATTATATAATCCCTATAGTGTATTTGAACATGAGAGTTTCCAATATGATTTGAAAATTTTAAAAAATTTAAGATGTTATTCTTGTAAAATTAAGGTAAAACAATGTTGTAGGTAAGATAGATGACTATTTATATTCATTATGTAGCGATGATTCGAAGCGTTTAGTGGTGTTCTAAAAGATCTACAAAAAAACTCCAGAACCACATTTTCCCCGAAATTGGAGCTCAGAATGAGTCAATTTAGTAAAAAGTACTCTCGTCACAGAAATTAATCTTCATAGATCAAATATGTATATAATTTCGCTGTAAATAAGAGCTCTAAAATAATGAATTCTCAATCATTTTTGTTTTTACTGGGAGCAATTACAACCCTTCAATCTTATATTACATAACGTCTCTAAGTGATTGATTCTTCAGTTCAATCTACATACAAAGTGTTGTGACGAATAGGAGTACTTTTTCCGTTATCATCCTAAAATACTTGACTTAGTGTTTAACCTAGTGCACTCTCGGGAAAGAACCATACAGAGTACACGTGGATTTTTGCGAGAAGGAACGCTATTATCTTCCGCTGAAACGTAGTTACGTGTAAGCTCGACTGGACCAGGACCCGATCTTGGTGATGAAGCATCCTTTGCAAGGTTTCGCTGGTCTCTGATAGACGGTCGTTGTCTCAAGTTTGGAATTTTTCTCCTTTCTCCGATCGCTCTTCTCACAAAATTCATCCGAACGCGAATTGAATTTTGTAAAAGTTGTAGTCATGGTGGGTGAAAACTGTAAGCCGTCTGTCTCGAAAACCCGCGCCAAAGTTTGTGGCGATGTGAGGCCAGTTTATTTGAATCCGCAATGTAATTATCTGTATCGTGTTTCTGCTACTTCCAGCTCGATTTCTCCTGCGTTTCATTCTCCGGTTTTCAACTCCTCTCGACGTTCGCTGGGTCTTGTTTTCCTTTCCTCCATTGCGTCTCCTCAGACTCCGACTCCCAAGATTACATCCACATCACATCAAGTTCCGCCTCCTGTGAACCCACCTGAAACTGAAATCCCTGATCCTGCCACTTTGAAGGAGCAGTGGAGGTATGCCACTCGTTTATACAGCCGCTGGTATGCACACGCTTGGGGAACCGCAATTCTGGCCGGTGCTTCATTCTACGCTTTAGGCTGGTTAATCAAAGGAGAAAATCCTGCGGGAAAACACGAGAAGAAGGAAGAAGAGTAGAGGGATCTGAGGTACTGGATCGAGAGCAGTTGGAGAAACTGAGGAGGCTAAGGAAGGGACATCCGTCTTTTACAGTTGTCGTAATTCTTGAATCTAAAGAAGGGGATTGTTTCGGTACTTGCCACTATTTCAGGGCGAGAAATCTCTAACAGAGGATGAAACTGATGGATAGCTGGAGGCATAGAGCATGTGATGCTTCACATCAGGTAAGAAAGCCCAAAATCTGCATTAATTCTTTCGCTTGAATTACACGTCGTTGAGTTCTGTACCATGAAGATGTAATACTAGGCCTTTGACCGAGGTAGCGTTGTTGCTTGTGCCCAAAAAAGCTGTCAAGTTGATTTGCCTCAAGTATCGTGTAGCACTTTCGTTCAATCACAAGAACTCGGTGAATGTCATTTTCCCACGTTTTTCAAACTTGTATTTTGGCTCTCACTTTCCAGAATTTGAATGTGCGGAATTCAGAATGCTTTGACCTGCTCATTGGATACTCCAGAAGGGTTGATGCTACTCTGGCATTTATGATACTTTCTTCGAGAAGGACGTATACAAATGAATAAAACTGGTACTCATGTCAACCGTATCTGTGCAGGGGAAATTATATACTGTCGATGGGGAGAGCGTGCATTTAGCACACAAGGTTGACATAAACCTTTTGCTTTGACCCGATCCTTTTCCTAGGTTGAATCTAATGAATGCTTCAAATCTACCAAGAGGACGTGCCAATGCCTTGACTCATAGGCATGGAATGTACATAACGGATGTGTTTAGTGCTAGGATGTGTCAGACACAATTTAGGTTTCTAAATCTGATGAATAAATTGTATTTAAATGCTCAACATTTTCAGTTATTTTGTCCTTTAGAACCATGAAGACTGTAGTGAGGCCGAGTTGTCGAGAGAACTCTCTTCAAGCTCTTGAACTACTCTTCTGATACAGTCGTCAATAGGGATTTCTTCTCATCCAGCTTGTAAGCTTGTAAGTATTTTCACATAGAGCGAGAAATTATCTGTGTTATGCCTGTCTTCGGTCCTGAGGCTGTCAGACACATTTTGACATGTATGCCTATTACAAAATGGAGTGGAATGGAAACTGGTATTTTGTGTTGGCCGATTTGTCGAGAGATCTCTCTTCAATTTCTTGAACAACTCTTCTGATACCGTCGTCAATAGGGATTGCTTCTCATCCAGCTTGTAAACTTGTAAGTATTTTCACATAGAGCTAGAAATCATCTGTGTTATGCCTGTCCTCGGTCCTGAGGCTGTCAGGCACATTTTGACATGTATGCCTATTACAAATTGGAGTGGAATGGAAGCTGGTATTTTGTGGTTTGTGAGGGGTCTATGAAGTGAAAGTTGGACGGATATCCTTTCAAGTTAGATTGTTCTTTGAAAAATGAAAGTGCTTGGCATGAGAAAGAACTATGAGTATTCTACTTACTCTACAAGGACTCAAAATCTGTTCTATAGGAAAGTTCATGTGCACTTTCTGAAATGAATCTATGTGAGGGGTCTATGAAATGAAGGTTGAACGGATATCCTTTCAAGTTAGATTGTTCTTTGAAAAATGAAAGTGGTCGGTATGAGTAAAAACTATGAGTATTCTACGTACACTCTGCAAGGATTCAAAATCTGTTCTGCAGGAAAGTTCATCTGCACTTTTTTAAATGAATCTAATGTTAAAAGAGCATGTAACCATAGAATTTACCAGGTTCAATCTATATGTGGTTGAAAAGATGGTCTGCGTATCTCAGTGGGATGTGTGTACAGTGTAGTGTGACCAGCATTTGAGTTGCCGGTCGGCTTGTGTAATAAAGGAGGTCTCACTAACCGGTAAAGATCATGCTTTATTGGAACTTGAGTCCTACATTGTTCACGAGTTGTTACATTTTTTCGACAATCATAAGTCCATGGCAGACGAAATTATATTTGGACTGCAGGACAAATTTTTGCTCTTTACTGGTCAAACCTGAGCTGAGGCTGTTTTGATGAAATTTTGTTGGTATGCATTTGTACATAAGCACACCTTGGAGCCTGTCACTCCATTAGTGATATACTGCCGCTTCTCTCCCTTGACGGAGCAAAAGATCTGCACTGTGATCCATTCATGGTAATAACACAGGCTGTCCTTTTCACGGTCACTGAATAGGACTAGATCCAGTTTTTAATGGATTTGTTGTCCTTGGAGCACGGTCACTCGTAATACGAGCATTTTCCCATTTGTAGTTTGCCCTTATTCATGAATTTGGACAGTTCCATTCAAATTCACATTTGCTGTTTGTAGTGATATTCCTGACCTGTCCAAGTCACGCAGAGTTCCTGCTCCGAGCCTTGGAAATCGCTTCCGAGGAATCTGATACCAAAAGCACCGCAGAAGTTCACAGGGAAGTGATTTAATATGAATCCATAATCTCACAAACGCTCCAATTCATTTAAGGTCTCAGAATCTCTCACGATAACGGAAATTGTAACAGCAATCATTATCAGGACATGTCCAGAGAAGGCGAATTCAGGGAACCGGTTCCAAAACTGAAGAGTCGACTGCATCGATAATTAAGTCGAGAATCAAAAGTGTTCCTAACACACCACATGAGCATCGTCATCGTCATCATCACCTCAAAGACTTTGACCTGTCTGCCAATTCATAATATATGACCCCTTTCCCAGCGAAAGTGCGGTCGGGAATTGGTTGTGAAAAAAGAGTCTCAAACTGCTGGCGATGGGTTGGCAAGCTGCAAGCATTACATGGCTGACATATGTCTCGTCTCAGCGCCATAGGGATCACACACTCGACCATGGTACACACAATAGCGAGCGAGTATCATGGTGGCGTCATTTTCACGGGCCCCACGGAACTTAGTCCGACACTCCGAATCGTATCGTGGGCCTTCAGTAGATTAGCGAGCACGAAATGATCATTCTTAGGTTTATGCTGTATCGGGTAGTCAAGGCAGGGGTCCTATCACACGATGAGTACTTGCCACGTGGTCTTTGCCAGAAGCGAGCACCAACCCCGATAGGTACCCGCCCCGTTTCACGGGTCTATTACCTGCCAGTGGGATGAGCTCCCTAACTTCGACCAGCAATCGCGAATTATGCTCTTGATGATTTGAAGGTGGTACAGAAGCGAGTGCGCGCAGGCTTTTTGCTTGCTTGAATATCAGTCTGTGAGCGGCTAAGGTTTCTGTAATTGGGTCGGGGCTTGGTGTTGTTTGGGGTATATGTGAGTGAGGTAAGAAAATATGTTTATTTCGAGTAGTGAATTTTGAGTCGTCGGTTTTGTACGAATGCCAAAGAACAAACGAAAGGGAGGGAAGAACGAGGCAGAGGACGAGAAGAGTGAGCTTGTCTTCAAGGAGTATGGACAAGAGTACGCTCAGGTGCTCCGCATGCCTGGGAATGGTCGCTCTGAGGCTCTCTGTATAGACGGGACCAAGCGTTTGTGCTACATTCGAGGGAAGGTGTGTATTGCGTCGGGCGACATCATCCTCGTTGGACTCCGAGACTAGCAAGACAGATGTTATACTCAAGTACCAACCCGATGCAGCCAGGCTGCTCAAAGCTTACGGTGAGCTTCCTGACAAGATTCGTCTCAACGAAGGTATTGCTGGCGGCCTGGACGAGGATGAGGACGGCGAAGGCGATGACTTCATAGATTTCGAGGACGAGGACATTGACAGAATATAAACCGCCACCCCGCTCCACTCCTCCAGCCTTCTCCACACATCGAGACTTCTACAAAAAACGTTGTCTCCTGGAATTCTTTCACCATTTGCATCAACCCTTCAAATTTCATGACTCCTACTCAGAAATCAGCGGAGACCTTAAACTAGACCTTAAACTTCTGCCACTTCAGTTGAGTAAAGCCAAGCCAAGTCACCATTATCTTGCGTTCTTCAGCTGCACCATAGGGATCCCTTGGACAGGAGTCCGAAGGGTGTATCTGCATCCTGCAATCTTCCTCCACAACAGGGCACATGTATTTCATGAATCACGATAAAAGTTAGATACGGTATGTATCTGCAATTTATACGGTATGTTTCCTCCCCGTTGGTGACACCCAGCTCGCTGTACACGTGTGAAGTTGTACTTTGGTTGGGCTGTGTTAGCGGTGATAAGTTTGCCATGAGTAACCTTCATGCCTCTACAATATGTTCGTATTTCATTGTTAGAAGTGAGTTTTGTACACACGCAGCGGAGTCGCCAATGTCGCCGTTCTACTTGTACTTACAATTACAGTAGTTCACGTCATGGTGTGTGCTATGCAAGGGAATTTACTGACAGTATCTGGTTGACTCTGACTCTTCTAAATAGGTCGCAGTGGTTGGAAGATTTCACACTTTGGAACGGGTAAATAATGATTTTTTATGTCTGATGTACTATTTTGGGTTATTGTAGAGCATTGGATGAATGGGTTTGGTATTTTTCGTTTTTTCGTTTTAATAGTGATGTAAATTTTTTTGTTCATGAATGTATTAAATTTAATATAAGTTTTAAGAATAACAACAAAAAATCTCAATAGTTTTCTATCGAAAATATCAAAATTTTCTGAAACTAATATATTGTTATAGAATGATATTTTCAACAAATATTCAAAATCAATTTGTAAATAAATTCGTCAATATAAATTACAAGATATAGATATATATATATATATATATATATCTATGTAGATTGAGTAAAATTTATTAATTTTATCAAGTATTTCAAAAAAAAAATTCGAGAACTTATTTTTTAATGTTTTATTTCAAAAAATCTTTATAATTTCTTTAGTTCTCACATGTATCTTGATATTGATAAAGAATATATATATGGAAATTAACATCTCTATAGATAAATGTAACTCTACGTATATCTATTTATATCACACTCAGATATACATCTTTGAAATAAATTTTAATTGACATTAAAATAAACGTTTGATTATCAAGAATTTCTAAATATAATTTACTTTTAAAATATATAGCGTTATAATTATTCATATTTTATCAGAATTAAATTTCCTCGTCTTCGTCTTCGAAATTTATAGTTTTTAATCATATGAATTTTTTGATATGTTTAATAAATTTTATATTAAAATAATTCTTATTAAAAATATCTACGTAAATCTAATTAACCGCACTGATAAAAAAATCTATATAATTGTAGCATTACTGAATTAACAGTGATTTTTTTGTTGAAAGTCACATAATAAGATTGAATTGATTGATTGATCTAAAAAATTGTTTAATTTTAGAGTTATTCAAAAATTTGATGTATTTGTAATATGAGTTTAATTATAGGTTAAATATTATATATAAAAACGAAGTGATACATTGAGATTATACACAACATTTTATTAAACACATTAATATGCATTCAAGAGTTAATTAACTTGAATAAATGGATAAAATATAACTGTAAATCATAATTATTAAAAACTATAATAATTTTTTTTCATCATCATGAAAATCATGGTGTAATCAAATATTAAACTTGAAAAGAGTTTTGTAGTTTCATTTCAAAATATAAATCCTTTTTGGTAAATTGAAACAAATTTTTTTCAAACTATAAATATATTTTCTTATATGAGTGATGTTTATATTTCTTTGATATCTGTTTTTTCAAAAATATGGTTTTAGATGAAGTAAATTTTTTAAAATATAAAAAAATAGAAAAATTTCCTAGTTTAATTTATAAAATTTGGTTTATAAGTGAAGTAATTTACATAAAATTTTCAGTAAATAAATTTAATAATAATATTATTATTATTATAAATAAAATTGTAAAATTTAAATGATGAAGAACATTTGAAATGGACAAAAATTAATTTAAAATTAAATTGTTTTGAATTAATCGTATGAAATTTTTTTTAATTTCAACTGTTAATGCTTGAGTAAGATATTATAAATAGCTTGAAAAATATTGATAGAGAAAACTAAATTTTTATTTTTTAAAGATTTAAATAAACATTTGAATGATACACATGAAATTTTTTTCAATAAGATTTCTTTTTTTGTAGTTAAAGTTGTACAAAAAAATTATTCATGTATTTGTTTAATGACTATTTATTCTAATATTTATGGTTTTCAATATCTGACACAAATCACAATTTATTTTCTGCAGTATTTATTATATTACATAAAATAAAAAATATGATATATTTTTTTCATTGATGAATCATTATCTCTTGTGGATTTTTTTCATTAATATAAATTATTCATAAAATTTTAACATATTACAGAAAATACTGTGGCTAAAATAAAATAAAAAATTTAACTTGTTGTTAAAATGTTATTTATATTTTAAATCATGTCAAAATTTTGCTAATGAAAGTTAGATTTGTAGTATTCCTACGTGTTGAGCTCATGTATGCATACATGAAAAGATTAGATATATAAGGTTCATCAACGCGAATTACTTCAAGAAAATGTCTTGGAATTTATTAAAAAACCTAACAAGTGTCTTCAAGAACTTATGTGAACTTGCTTATATTGTGGCATTGTTCTAAATTTTTGGCACTTAGTATTTATTTACATCAAAATTATAATGCTGCTAAATTAAGCTTAAAAAAATATTTAACTCCTAATAATCTTACTTCTAATTCATGTTGTGGATATTTTAAACTACTAAATATAAATATTACGCATAAATTTCTGAAAAATAATTCATATAGTTAATTTCAGGAATTAGAGCTAATTCATGAATTAGAGTTAATAAGATCTAATTCATAGTCAAAACAAAATATAGTAAATGAATGAATAAGAATATTGCTTGTAAATTCTACTTATGACCATCATGCAGAATTTGCAAAGTAGAACAATGACTACTAAAACTTTTCAAGAATTAGCTTTGTTCAACCCATTATTTGGATTAATAAACTATCAATCTTCATTAGGTTAATTTATATATCAAAAATTGCATCATAGATAAAGTAGTATATAATGTTGATGTGTTTCACTATATTATTTATTGCTTGATTCGCAGCAAAGTATAATTCACTCTTTCCACTGTGACTATCATAATGAAGATTGACAAATTATTGTTTCAATCCAATTTCAATGATAAATTGAATCAACCAAATGGTATATTTTGCTACTTTATATTCCATTGTGAATTGAGTTATACACTTATGCAAAATAGATCTCTAACTAATGCGTCCAACATCAAAAGTAAATACAAATCTATTTGTAAAATCATTCTTGTCATATCAAGTTCATAGTTAGCATTAATGTAGGTTAACAAAGATTTGATATTGTTTACTGAGCTATCAAACAAAATATTAATATTTTATTTACTTGAGCTATATGAAAATTCATATGACATCTTCCAAATGCATCTGCTGGGAATAGCCACTCATACAAGACTTGGACCAGCACTCAAAGCTCCAAAACTAAAAGTAATAACACTTGAAACAAGAAAATCTTGAAATATTAACACTCAAAGAAAAACACTAAAATTAATATTGATACAAAAAAATTTACAACTATTGTTGACAAGAGTGAAATAAAATGTTTTGAAACTCTCTATTTATATTGCTAATACACTACTGTGAGCTTTTATAGTTGAAAAGTTGACAATATTTTCAAAGTTGGAAAAAGTTGACCTACGTGTATCTTCACAACGTCATTGCTATGTTCACGTCTGTGACGTCGGCTATTGTATGTCACCTTCACATCTCACTACTACTGTCATTGGAGACATTATCTTACTTCAACAACAAGATTTGACGAACTATTCTATTTATCTTATAAAAAACATAAACAAAAAATTGATTACAAGAAGTTCATGTGATAATCAGATGATTACATACTCATTTAGTACTTGTGTTGATACAAATGTGTTGGATCTGAATATTTATAGCATATTTTTTGGGTATTTTTTTTATCAATTTAGAACCGTTAGCAAGATTAGAAGCAGTTTCATAAGGAGCAAAAAACTAAAATTTCTAATTTTTATCTTACTTCATAGTTTGACCAATTTACAAGATACAAAAATCTAGTCTAAATAATGCGGGAGTCAATGATGGTACATACTTCAGATTTTTCTTCTTGGTTAATTTGATTGGTGGCGGAAGTGATCACAACCGTCCCGGAATAGTCAATTTGTCGTACGATTCAAGAAAAAAAATGTAACATTGGATTAATTTTTATAAATTATGCTAGGTCATTGAACCTGCCATCATGTATATACTACTTTGATGATCTGATTACTTACGCAAAAAGCTCTAAGATAACAATAATCAAGTTTGTTGCTTGGTTTACGAGTCTTAAAATTGTGATGCAAAAACCAGATTTTATCTTCAATTGAGATGTTTGCATTTTTTTGTGTACCTAAGTTAAGTATTTACAAGCATTATCTTCATGTCTTTGTAGTTCTTTAAAAGTCTTGTGATCATATCTTGTGCATCAATTTTTTTTGCAAAACTCAAATTCAAAGAGACAAATTGTGAATGATATATATAGATTGCAAAGAACAAAGTTTGATGTATGAACAACAATGCATTTGAAATGTATTGTTATAGACAATCTTTGCAAATGAAATTAGATCATTCAATTGTTTTCATGCTAATCAATGAAGCTCTTAAATACTGCTTCAATACTTGATTTATTTGTTTGATTTGTTCATCCCTACGAGGATAAAAGCTTAATGCTATATTGATCTTCATTTATCAGATTTTGAACAAATTTGCCAAAACTTGGATGTGAACGTGTTTGTTCTGTAGCAGATTTATTACAAGATCAATTACAATTACATTAAACCGTTTAGAAGATTCAGTTTGACAAATTTTAGGAGTAGCCACAAAACAAAAACGATTATTAACTCCAAAAAGTTTAATAATGTCAAGTCCATTAATAATCAATTAATTACAAATCATATAGTTTTGTTTTAGTATACAAAGTTTGAGATCTTTGTCAATTGGTGTATCAAAATTAATATTAAATCAAAAGATTTGAATTTTAGAATCTCCACAATGAAATTCATTCACATGGATTTTCAATGAGTTTTTGATATCTATAACAGTTGATGTAACGCGTATGGCCAATGACAAGTAATCCTGGATGTAGAGCAAGTGTCACATGTTTTAAAATAGTGCTTCATACTTTTTCACATTTGTGATCATTAAATATTTCTTGATATAAACTTCACTGTCTTATTGTGAATCTTTTGCTGATGAAAAATTATATCAAAACTAGAGTACTCGGAGTCGGCATGAGACTTCAAGAACGTAATTTGATACTTGATAATACAACGTCTCATTTTAGAATTAGTTACTTGAATAAACAACATGCGATCTAGAAATTTGTGAACTTGAAGTAAATTGATTTGAGAAATTCCAATCTATAATCTCTGAATTTGGACTTGAAAATTTGCTAGAATTGTAAATGCTAGCATTGTTCTTGAATTTTAAGATCATATTTTTTTTCAAAATTACT